CCCCAAAACCCCAAAACCCCAAAACCCCAAAACCCCATTTAGAGGTACTTGTTTTGACGGAGGTAATATTTAATTTATCTGAATGGAATCAAGTGCAGCTATTGCAGAAGATCCTAATTACAATATTGATAGACAAGGTCTTATCGACAAGACCAACAAGTGAACTGTCCCTCTCTACTGTGTTGATGCTGTTACTACGGTTGACAGTGGCATTGCTGAGATCAAGTATAGCCAGTTCTACTTTAATGACAAGGATGAACCTATTGAAGCCGAACATGTGTTCCCAACTAACACAGATTGGACCTTTTCTCACTTGAAGGCTACTATTGGAGAAGAAGTTCTTACAACAAAAGTGGTAGAAAAGAAAGCTGTCAAAGAGACTTATACTGATGCTTCAAACATTATTGACCCAGCCAGGAGCTCTTCTCTATTTCCACTAACAAATGACATGATGTCGGTTCAGCTGGGAAGAATTCCTGCTAACACTCCAGTGTTCATATCTTGAGTTTTCCAGCAAATAATGCGAATTGAAGATCTAAGTCGGAGAATTCAAGTTCCTGTGCAGTTGCACCCCAAACAAGTTGGTGATTTGCCACAATCCATCAAAACAGAAACAAGTTTAGAAAAGATGATAAAAATGTCCGAGCCATTAAAAGGAAGTAAGTTGAAACAGAAAGTAGAAAAAGTTGAAATGATCTACTCATCAAGCTCTTTCTTATGAGACTTTGTTGTAAAGATTAAGTCTAAGGATCCAATCACCCGTGTTATTAGCCCTACCCACCAGATCGAAGTGAAATGCTCGAATGCTAAGAAACTGAATGCTGAAGTTAGCATTCTAGCTTCAGAGCTAGGAGAATTATATAGCAAAGACTTTAAGCTCTTGTACAGAGACCAAGGCATAGACAAACCCAACGCTATTCTTCAGACTATGGACGACATGTACGCACTAATGATATCAATGCTGGTTGACTGCACTCCTGAGAAAGAGTGGCAGGAAAATGGAATCGCAGTGGATCGAGATATTGACCTTGATCCAACAATCAGATATTCTGAAAAGATTGGAAAGCAAAATAAGCAAGCAAGATTCACCTTTGTGATTGATAGAAGTTCATCTATGGGTCGTACCAAGATGGGATTAGCAAAGGAAGCTTTAATGCTGTATATCAAAAGCTTGCCTCTCAACTGCACATTCAATATCATGTCTTTTGGTAAAAAACACAGATACCTGTTTAATAGATATGCTCTTTATCTTGATTCAATCTGTGAAAAAGCAATTGAGAGAGTCAAAGACTTTAAATCGAATTATGGCAGAACTCATCTCTATGAATGATTAGAGACTCTATATTCAGAAAAAGTAGATAATACTTTTGGAGAAAATCATGTGATCTTATTGACAGATGGGCTAGTTTTACAGCCAGATGATTGCTATGAAATTATTAAGAAAAACTCCGATAGATACATTCTTAATACCTTTGCAATAGGAAGAAATGCAGATAAGCCTCTTCTTGAAAAATGTGCGCAAGCTGCTGGAGGACAGTCTTTTTATGTCGACGATAAATGCTCAAAATTAAAAGAACAGATTATTTCCTGACTCTCAAAATCTTTACTTCATGAAGTTAGGATTGAAGACCCGAGTGAAATCAATCATTGTGGAAGAAAGCTCTTGGAATTTCCACAGTTCTCAGAGCTCAAATCGAAATCATTTGCTCATGGAAAATATCTCACTTACTTCGTGATCTTTAATTCTCTCAATGAGGCTCTCTCAGGGAATATTGATATAGACTGGAGCGAGGTAGGAACTGCAAACAAGAATTCAATTTCATTGTCATTGGAAAGAGACGTGAAATTCATTCCTGGAGATTCTATCTTCAAAATGGCATCAGACCACTACATCAAAACAAACAGCAAATTTGTTGTTGGAAGAAAACAAATTCTCGGTCTGTCTGATAAATTCCAGATATCGAGCGAATTCACAAGCTTGATTGCTGTGAACAACAGAAACAAGAAAAAGAAGATCATGGAGGAAGATGACTTCAGCACAAGAGCCAAAGACTTCAATGAAGTAGAGTTTTCCGGAACTACGCCAATCAGGGTGAAGATCAAGACTTTTACTGGGAAGAAGCATCTCGTCCATTGTTATGAAGAAACATTAATATCTGAATTATTGGAATATGTGTCTTATCTTCCTTGGGCTCCAGATGATGTTTCTCTCATAAACTTGATCTTTAATGGAACTAAAATGAGAAGTGGTCACGATAAGAGACTCTGTTATTACGAAGTCAAGAATATGGAGACAATCCAGATGCAGGAAATAATTTCCGACAAAGAAGGTCTTATCTCTTGCAAACCTAAATCTGAAATTAGCACTGATAGACTGGTAGAACTACAAAAGCATAATGGATCTTGGGATGCAGCCATCTTAGAGCTGTTCGATGTGAACCATGAATCGGTGAAAGCTTCTATGCCCAAGGCACTCAGTAGACTCGGAGATGACACTAAGAGCTTGTCAGTGATGTACACTTGGCTAGGTCTTGACCTTATTGAGAAGTATTTCCCATCCAAAGAAGGCGAGTTATCGCTGATCACAGAAAAGGGAACTAATTTTATAGAATGAATCACTGATGGTAAGCTTGGATATGATGATATTCACGCTAAGGTGAACTATAAGGCAGAATAAAATTGACCAAAAAAGAGGAAATTAGAAGGCACATATGTTTTAGTTAATCGAGTATCTTTCCTATTAATTCTTCAATATAGTAAGATAAAGACGGGGTTTTGGGGTTTTGGGGTTTTGGGGTTTTGGGG